CAGCACAGAGTCTGATGCGGGGCTCGAACCCACGAACCGTGAGATCATGACCTGAGCCGAAGTCGGACGGTTAACCGACTGAGCCACCCACGTGCCCCTCCAAGTAATTATTTTAAACCTACTCCGTTTATGTTGTTGGATTAATTGATTATCTAAAATTCTTGAGCGTGAGGCCTCCTTTGTTCCTGTGTGCCGATTCTCAGTTATGGAGGATTTTCATGCTCACTGCATTTGGATTATAAAGTCCTCTTCTGCAGGGTGTTGGCTGTAAGATGAGAATGGTTTTGCTTATTCCAGGCACTCAGGTCCGAGCCTAAATGGACAGATAAATGTAGGCATCAAGCTCCATGCAGATCAGGCCTATGCTTGGAGATTTCCGTGGTAGTCCTTTTCCCATTAGATCCTGGTGCCATGCAAGTTTCTTTGTGGTCCCTGGTGCCGAGGGGGTGTGGGGGAGGGGGCATACAAGTCAACAAGGGTCATTCTGGTTTCATGCAAGGGGCTTTGAATGTAATTCTCTGATTTGCAAAAACTGAAGAAGTCAATTCCTTTATTTTTTTTTTAGTTTTTTAAAATGTTTTTTATTTATGTTTGAGAGAAAGATAGAGACAGCGTGAGCAGGGGAGGGTCAGAGAGAGCGAGACACAGAATCCAGAGACCGGCTCCAGGCTCTGAGCTAGCTGTCAGTACAGAGCCCGACGCGGGGCTCAAACCCATGAACCGTGAGATAATGACCTGAACTGAAGTTGGACACTTAGACGACTGAGCCACCCAGGCGCCCCTATTATTTAAAAAAAAAATTTTTTTTTAATTTTGTTTTTTAAATGAGAGTGTGTGAGCAGTGGGGAGAGGCAGAGAGGGGGACAGAGGATCCAAAGCATGCTCCGCATTGACAATAGCGAGACTGATAAGGGGCTCAAACTCATGAACCGTGAGATCATGACCTGAGCCAAAGTCGGATGCTTAACCGACTGAGCCACCCACGTGCCCCAAAAACTCAATTCTGGATCACAGAGACACTCAGGCGGCGCCACAAAACCTGCACAAACTGGACTTTTATGTTTAAGTGCCATACTTCTACTCCATGGTTTCATTTATTCTTCTTGTTTGGCCCTTGAGATTTCCTTCTCTTGGGAGCTCAGCTGTGCATATAACAGTATGTCCTTTATTTCACTTTTAAAGCAAAAGGCTTTTCAGATAATTAGTCATCATTACTGGAATCAAAAGCCTCAGTTTGGAACCAGTATCTTATCGCATTCCTTTGTAGTCTGCTTTTTGCACGTCTGATTTGATATGTTGATACATTAAGTACACCGATCATTCTCCTGTGCCTGCAATAAATGCTGTTTCGCTATTTTCTTAGTGCAGCTGACAATTCCATTTGCTAATATTTTGAGTAAAAATTTCTGTGATGAATCTTGTTTGTTTCATGGACTGATTGGAAGTAGCTTGTCTTTTTCTCTGGTTAGAAATAATCAGTGAAAAAGAACCGCTTAAAGTTTGAAGAAATAAATATGACCTCCCTCTCAGATTCCCAGTGTGTTTCTCTGCTATTATTGCCTGATTGTTCTTGTCTAATTTCTAGCAGTTTTTATATTAATATTTCAAGAAAAAAAAATTTTATTTTGAGAGAGAGAGTGTGCACACAAGTGTGAGTGGGGATAGAGAGAGAGAAGGAGAGCGAGAATCCCAAGTAGGCTCCGCGCTGTCAAGCACAGAGCCCAACGGGGTGGGGGGCTCCATCTCACCACTGTGAGATCATGACCTGAGCTGAGATCAAGAGTTGGATGCTTAACTGACCAGAAACTATAGTCTTACTGCTTAGAAAAGAAACTCTTTTTTTGTACATTATTAATTTTTTTTTAGTGTTTATTTTTGAGAGCAAGTACAAGCACAGGCAGGGGAGGGTCAGAGAGAGAGGGGCACAGAGGATCCGAAGCAGGTTCTGTGCTGACAGCAGACAGCCCAGTGTGGGACTCGAACTTGCAAACCATGAGATCATGACCTGAGCTGAAGTCAGATGCTTAACCAACTGAGCCACCCAGGTGCCCTTCTTTTTTGTACATTATGAAAGCTATGAAGATTTCTTTTAATTTGGCAGTATGCTAAAGGTTTCATTATGGAGCCTTTTATTTCTGAGTCTTGTTTTTAGAGAAGTAGATTCTCCAAAAAATATTTTCATTTGTCATAGTGTGTGATATGAATTTGAATGCATTTTTAACAATGAAAAATTATTACAGCTGAAATTTTATCTTATTTCTAAAATGTTTTACAATGTTTTTTTCCATTCTAGCTAAAGAGAATAGAAATCCCCTAGATATGAGTCAGTGGTCATTTTTGAAGCATAGAATTTCTAGAATTGGAATAATTATACAGTTTTGTGATATTTTTGGTATACGGTGAACAGTTTAAACTGTCTTTAAATGTTCTCAAAGAACATGTGTTTTAGTTCTGAATCTTCTTACTGTTAAAAATTTATCTTGGGCCTTTGTACTTAGAACACAGAAATTTGTCTCATTATTCTCATTTTTAACCACCTTTTCTCATATTATCTCAGAACTGTTAATGTCAAACTGCCACTTGGTTATATAAGCTTTTGCTCAGTGTTTTTAAGAGTGCTCATAGTTATTTTGTTTCAGTATTTCCTTCCAATGGAGAAATATGGGATCTGTACATTTTGTTTGCGTTTTTTATGTTGGTTATACTTATTTGTAAATTTACACATACTTTGATATTTAAGGAAATAACTTTCATTTATGTTTGTTAAAAATATACTTGTAAGGCAACCTATTTAAAACTACTTCTGGGGCGCCTGGGTGGCTTAGTCAGTTAAGTGTCCGACTTTCACTCAGGTCATGATCTTGCAGTTCGTGGGTTTGAGCCCCGCATCGGGCTCTGTGCTGACTGCCAGCTCAGAGCCTGGAGCCTGTTTCAGTCTGTGACTCCCTCTCTCTCTGACCCTCCCCTGCTCACACTGTCTCTCTCTCTCTCCTAGAAATAAATAAAACATTTTAAAAAAATTAAAAAAATAAATAAAACTACTTCTAGTTGGATTTTAACATGATTATATACTTTTGCATATAATTAAGTCAGAGCTAGTAACTTTGGCTTTCTGCTTTGCATCGTTTCTGAACTTTTGCTCTGTGATAGTGTGATGACAGCTGTTTTCACCCACCCCAATTACTTTGTCTTATTGAAACTCTCTCTTCAGTAATTGGTCATCCTGCTCTTTGGTACATAGTCTTCTTCGAATTCTGTATGCCATTTGTAAGTTTTCTGTAACTTTGAGACTAGGGAAGGAAAGGGGTTTTTTGTGAATTTGCTGGTAAATAAACCCAACCGACCATCATCAGTTGGGTGTGAAATAGTTTGGTTACATACGTTTGTCTGAGGTAAACTCTTTTTTAAACTCTTTCTGTAAACATTTACTTTTAGCAGAGCTGTTTGCAGATTTTCCTTGTAGTCTGATTACCATTTCTACATTATTTGTATCGTCTCTTCTGGGTCTTTACTTGTGCAAGTTCCTGTTCTTGAGATCCGTGTTCTCCAGGTCATGTGGCATTAGATGTTTTAAGTTTGTTCATTTTCAGACATTGTGTAGTCAGTACTGTAATTCGTCAAGAGTTGCTAGATCATTGAAACCTTTACTCTTCTTCAAAAAGTGAATTAACCGTTCTTTCAATTTGGCTTGTGACTTACTAGTTTAAGATTCTGAGTGTTTTCTGTTCCTAACTGCATTGCCACTTTTGCATCTCAGAACCCTTTCATCTGCCCTACCCTTTGCTAACTCATTCTTAGAATTTATCTTTACCTGTTTCTACTAAATACAGTTTCAACCTAAAAATAATACTTCATGCTTTGATATGTGGACTCAAGGTCTTACTTGAAATGTGGGGGAAAGTTTAACATTTAATGGGATATTGCAGTATTGTGATTCTAAGATATATTGGGTCATTCCCATGACCAGAATACATTTCACATCTTCATTTGGTGTTTGTCCACAGTTCCTGGCTGAGTTCCCCAAACCCAAAGAATTTCTGAAGTGTTAAGAATGATAAAGGTGTATTTTGTTATGTTAATGGCAGACCTAAAGGTGGTTGTGAAGAGCTCTAGCCCTGTAAATAGAGGGTTGGAAGTTCAGTCCCACCCAGTCCCTGACCTTGGTGGAGGGGGTAGAGGCTGTAACGATTCAGTCAGTCATAATTATGTAATGGAGCCTGCATAAAAACCCAGAAGACTGAGCTCACAGAGATTCCAGGCTGATGGTGCTGTGGGAGGGGGCATAGGAGCTTCCCACCCCCCACCCCCCCCAGTCCCTTGTGCTGTGCTCTCTTCCATCTGGCTGTTCCTGAGTTCTAGCTTTTTATGATAGACAGTAATAAAGCAAGTAACATGTTTTTCTGAGTTCTGTGAGCTGCCCTAGCAAATTAATGTAACTGAAGGAGGGGGTCTTTGGGACCTTCTGACTCACAGCCAGTTGAGCTGCACAGGTCACAACCCAGAATTGCAGTTGGCGTCCTTAGTCAGAGGGGCTCATGGTGGATGACGCTCCAACGCTAGCTGGAGGTCAGAGGCACAGGGCTATGTATGCCTGGTGTGTGACGGAGGAAGGGCCCGCAGTCTGCTAGGACTGAACCCTTAACCTGTGGAGTCTGATGCTCTCTCTGCACACACAGGGTCACACGTGAGTGAATTCTTACACACCTGCTGGTGTCTGAGAATAGCTTCCTGGTGTGTGGGGACCTCCCCCCCTTCCCACACACACACTGAAATTGGGTCCAGTTTAGATGAGGATCCATCTAAATTGTCATCTTTGTGTAACAAAGTGTAAGGTTAGAAGTACTTCTTAAATGACAGGAAACATTCAGGGGGTCCGGTACTGTGAAAATATTTGTGGGCCTTGGTAAGAATCAAAATGTTAAGAAAGCTTGGCCAGTTTTCTGCCTCACTTTCTATATTGTCCTTATTATATGCCAGCAATGCTCTTCTTTCCTTCTTAGTGGAAGAGAAAACCAACACCCACCTCCTCCTCGGCATGTGCTTAGACACCTATGCCCGCTACCTTCTGTTCTCCAAGCAGCCGGCACAGGCACAGAGGATGTATGAAAAAGCTTTGCAGATTTCTGAAGAAATACTAGGAGAAAGACACCCACAGGTAAGGGAGGAAAGCAGAGGAAGTGTACGATGAAGCTTTCAGGATTTCTGGGTGAGAAATGCCACCCTCGTTGGGGACAGATCATCAGCAGGTGGTGCTAGGTGCTACGTGTTCCCTCCTCAGCCCGCCCCCCAACTACTTGTTTCAGAAAGGGTGTGAGGGACACCTGGCCGGCCCAGTCTGTAGAGCACGCAGCTCTTCATCTTAAGGTCGCGAGTCCCACGTTGGGTGTAGGGATTCCTTAAAACAAAAAAAGGATTTGAGCCCCCTCTGATGAGTTATCCAGAGCATTCTGCACTCATTTTGGTTCAGCAGCAGAACAGCCTTTATAAAAGGTCTGACCAGGCACCCGCAAGCTTCCAGGCCTTCAGGGTACATGGCACAGTATTTAGTAACAGTGAACCTTAGAATTTTAAGAGGAACAGGTTAATACATGAAGATTCTTGCCTCCCTCACCCCACAGGTAAAATGCCAGGGGACGTGGGGGAAGGAAGGAAGGAGAGGGGGACCACATTACGAAGTAAAAACCACCGACACCGTGCAGAGCTGTTAGAACAGCGAACATATTGAATGGACGTCCTTTTGTCTCTCTTGTCTCTCAAATTAAATTCTTAGAGGGAAGAACTGGATCATTTGTCAGAATGACTGGTGTCCCCAGCACAGGACATGCCCCACGGCTCGGGTCCACGGGCGGGGCAGTTAGCAGACTGTGAACTCCCTTCAGGCAAGGGATTTAGGTTAGAGTCCACTTAATGGAATGTCACTGAGGAATCAGACAGACATGGAATTCAAATCACCAAGTGCTAGAACTGAGAGGGGGAGGTAGGATCTGCTTCTCTTAGTATCAAAATTTTAAAAACTCTTAATGGGAGTCTTCCTAAATCAGTAATATATGTAGTTTTTCTCGATGAGTCTCAGAGTCACCAGTAGAAATGACAGTAAATAACGCCCTGGAGGCTGGCTTCCCAGGATTGTCGGACCTTCTAAAGATCGTTACAGCTTCATCTTGCCATTGTATTTTTTCTTGGTGCTTCTAACTTGATAATTAGGTTAATAAGTAATATCCTGTTCCCTACTTGGCAGATCTGTATCGTTTTCCCGAGAGCTGAACCGATGCCGTCCCCCGTACACTGTGAATGATAAACGTGCCAGTTTGTTAAAGGCTGATGTCTTTCACTTTTTGTGGAACGTGCTAGGAAACGTGAACTCTTAAGCATATATTCACACTTTACCAGACTCCAAATTAACGTTAAATCTGTGTGGCTGTTTTTTAAAAAAAATGGATGTTTTTTCTTTTGTGTGTAGACCATCGTGCTGATGAGCGACCTGGCTACCACCCTGGACGCACAGGGCCGCTTTGACGAGGCCTGTGTGTATGTGCAAAAGGCATCAGATCTGGCGAGACAGATCGAACATCCTGAGCTACACATGCTGCTCAGTAATCTCGCTGCAATTCTGATGCACAGAGGTAGGGGGCAGTGGGAGCCGGCCGGGCCTGCTGGAGGGAAGGGGTCACTCAGTTTATGTGGCTGTGAAATGGCTGCAGGCGGGCGAGCGGCAGTCCGGAAGCTCCGGAATTCAAAGGCTGGCTGGATGTGCTAAAAAGGATGTGTGTTTGGCTCAAGTACCTTTGTGTGCAGTTCACGTAACTGGTGCGTCGTGCCGTGCCCGCCTGTGGAACACACGGGCCTAGAGAAAAACCCAGGGCACTGGGGGGACCCGGCCCTTGCTGCGCTGGCGCATGACCGCTGGGCCAGCTCCCAGCCTCTCCAAGCCAGCGTGTCACAGGGCGCTGAAGGAAGCAGGGCCAGCCTGTCACTTAATGAGCACACGGCAGGTTAGGCCTGAACTGTCACTAGCGCTTGTTCTTCTGAATCTTTCAGAATCACTTTGAAAACCTACATTTGTCTTTCCTCTCCCTTCTCTCTGGGTTATTGTAGAACGATATGCACAAGCAAAGGAGATCTACCAGGAAGCACTGAAGCAAGCAGAGCTGAAAAGAGATGAGGTTTCTGTTCAGCACATCAGGGAAGAGCTGGCTGAGCTGTCAAGAAAAAGTAGACCTTTCACTTAATTTTATGAAGCGCTAAATCCCTTTTTGTTGTAGGAATTTTAAGTAACAGTGGTTCTTCCGGTCTCTGTGGCACCCAAATCAGTGGCTTTCAACCCTTTCTCCTTGATATTCATGTCTCGTCAGTTAGCTGTGGTGAAGGACGAGTTGTTCGCGCTGCCGCTTTTGTTCTTTAAAGGAAAGACGACTTTCACCCCTGGCTGATTTTGACTTCTAAGGACAGATGTCAAGTGATGCTTTCGTCGTAACGTATGGTGTGGTGCTGTCCGTACTGGTCTAAGTGTGCCTGTAGACGGAGGTGGGCCGCTTGGCCTCTGGGGTGGGGGTGTTGTGGCATCTCTTTCCTACGATTTTGATCCATTGATTTGCTACCCTCTTTTTTATTTTATCAATATCTGGAAGAGCAGACCTAGCTGTCTCATGGCAAAGGGGGATTATGGTGAGTTATTTCTCTTATCTGTTTCCGGAAGCTGAGTGTGGGACCTAACGCATAACGGAGAAGTATCGTCTTGGTGTGTGCCAGAGCCCAGCATGAAGTTTTAAAGTAGGAAGTAGGCCCTTGAAAATACACCCGTTTAATTATAAATCAAAGTAAACTGTATGTTTTCATCTCTGGTTATACACGACTGTGAAAAGGGGGAAAGGAAGGGTAGGAATGATTGTCAGTGCTGTTTGAGGGCTCCACATCCTTTGCAGTCTGGGTGCCTGAGCAGAGTCCTCTGCCCGTGCCCAGGCGGCGCCCCCAAACCTTCTTGTCTCAGGGTCGGGCCTTACAAGTGTGATCTGTAAAGTCTCCCTCGTAATCCTCGTATGTACTGCTTCTACAGGGGAAGGACCACGGATCTGGATCCTAGTCCAGCTTCTCCGTGTAGTTTGGGTCTCCGTGTCCTCATCTGTAAATAGGGAACGAATGAGATTCTGTCGTAGTTGTGGGAGAACGTTTTTTTGTCAGGTGACTCTAAGTGAACAGACTGCTGTGCTGAAAGAGCCCTAGCACACTGCCTCAGAGCGTGTCACGTGTGTCCGTAACACACACGTAGATGACTGTTGTTACCTCAGAAGTGTTGCAGAGCCCCTGGCCTAGGGAAAAGGCAATTTCTGTAGGTGCCATGAAGGAACACTGTTATTGCTGGTAAGCCTTTGGGGGTGGGGGTGTGAGTGGGAATGGTAAACAGATATTTTTGTTTCTGTGTACATATTATTGGAAGAATCCTTTCATAATAAACTAGAGACTCTACAACAACACTGTATGTATTCCGTAATCTTTGAGTTTCTCATAAAAAATAACTTAAAAAAGAAAGAAATACTAGAAATCCTGAGGTCCAGATCTTCAAGGATTAGACTAAAACTTGAACTTTGTATTTTGCAGATGTAAATTAGTTCCTGCTTTCTGCCTGAGCTCATCGCTTATCACCCAGCTAGCTCCTTTAATCGAGTATCTAATGAGAAAGAATATAAATCAGATTGAATTTCACTGCGACCCAGTCTTAATTTATTGGTGACTTTTGAGAAATTACTGTCAACTAGTTGACTGCTCACCTGCATGGAGAATGTTTTTGCTTTTTCACAATTGCAGGGGTTACTGAAAGTTAGGATTGTCACTCCAGGTTTTATTTAAGAATTTTTGGTCCTCCACAGTGATTCGCTCGTGGTCCCATCCCAGTGCTGGAAAAACTGTGGGTGTTTTCAGAGTGTGTCTCTTCGTGTGGATGTCTCCATCCAAGTTCATTTGCACAGTTGTAAAACAAAGTAGCCGAGCGGGAGGGCAGACCCCTTTGTTGACTGGTCTGAATTCAAAAGTAAAATGTTAAGAACAGCATAGTTTAAATTTTTGAACTATGTCACCGGTTTTCAGGGCATAAATATTTAAAAAATGGAACGCGAGTACCAAAGTTTAAACATTACAGAACTTCCAGTGATAAACGCGCTGGAGATGTGGCTGTCAGGATGCCACTGTGAACAGTACTGGGAAGACCTTACTTTAGATCCGGGGTGCCGAAAAAACCATGCAGAAGGATGCAGCTTCAGAACCCTGAAATCTCAGCCGCAGAGAGTGTCGTCATGCCTTGGTTTCAGCCTACTTCAGCAAGTCTTCAGTCACTCTTGGGGCTGTCTGCCGTTTCGGTCCTGCCCAGGTGAACGTCCACCCGCCCAGACGGCTTGCTCCATAGGTAAGCCCACGAGAGTTCGGTCCTCTCGTTGTTCCCAACTAAGAAATGGTCCTGGACTTTCTCTCCCGTTCTGAGCTCCAGGTGATGGCGGATGGCGCAGGAAAACCCACTCGCACTGTGAGCAGGGGGGAGTGGGGAGCGGCACTCCCTCTCGGGTCCTAAAGGACAGCTGCAACAGTAACAAGCTAGGCTCTGCTCTCAAAGGCTGTTCTGACTTGGAACAGCTCAAGACCTCCGGGGTCATGAGAAAAATATCTCTTTTGGGCCAGCTGACACAATTATTAAGAGTCGCAGATATTACCAGCAGCAGAAAACTGTCAAATAGAACATGTAGTTACAGTTTTTCATTCACATGAAAATTTTTCGTATCTTAAGTGGTGCCAGCTCTCAAGTTTACTGTGAGGATCTCAAGTCTACAAGAGTAGAACGGTTGTACGAGTGAAGGCTTTAACTTAACCACATGGGCAGAGTACTGAGCCTGTGTCCTCATGGTTAAAATCGGGGTTACACACTAATGCTAAGGGTGATGCGAGTGTCTCATTACAAAGGAGGCACTCCGTGGTTCTCCCACACCTGCTTTCTTTAGAGGCTTGTGTACTTTAAAAAGTTGAGATCCACTTAGAAGTCCGTAAAGTGCTCACATGTATCATCCTGGGAGACCTCTGCATCTCCCCTCACTCAGCTTCAGTGGCATCCTTCTGAAGTGGTTAGTATCCATGTGCCGCTCAAGGCTGCTGCAAGCGCTATGCTCAAGTTGTTTAAAAAAAAAAAAAAAAGCCTCACAGTTCAGCAAGGAATCCTGAAGGGTGAAACTGACCCCCCCTCCTAATCATTTCCTCCTTGAGGTTCGGTGAAAAGATTCACCAGTAAACTCCTGCCCACAAGGAATCGGAGGGAGAGTAAGCCCTGGCACATGGCGAAGGGGAAGTGAGGCTTCAGGGTACACACTCCAGGTGACACTAAGAGTCCGATTCTGTACGGATCGTTACCTTCTAACTCACCCGGTAGTACAGAGCAACCCACTCCTCTGAAACCTGAGACATCAAGAGCCTTGAATCACACATGATCTAGGTGGCTATGGACAGGGAAGTCCCATTTATTTTGAAACAAAAGCTCTGTTGGGCTGCATCATCAAATGCAGGCAAAAAAGAATACTTAGGGCCACGGTTAAGTTTTACCAGTGTGCATAACAGTGAGGTATGCCTCAAATAAGCCTTTTGTTTTTTTTTTTTTAACTGAACTATAACATACCCATGCAGTAATATTTTTCAGTGCTAATTAAAAAAATTAAAGCCTGCACTGGAAGTTGACAGTATAGCAGAATTTTGTTTCTCCTACCTTTGACCCAAATGCGTAATGTACAGATTTTATACAGGGTCTATGTTAAAAATCTAAACATTTCCACAAGATTTTAAACATCAATGGAAATCTGGATTTAGAGGAAACAAAATTAGATAAAAGTACAATGCCCGTGACAGCCAACATTATGTAACTGGGCTGTATGAGGTTGTTGAGAAGGCAAGGGTTAAAAAGATAGGTGCGATGTTTGTTTTTTTGTCTTTTAAATTACCCCCCCGAGTTGATGCGCTGATTTGAACGTAAGTACACCAGATACTACAGCAAGGGGAAACACTGCAAAAAGGTAATCTATTTACAGAAGAGTGACTTAAAGACATTATGGTTTTCTTTACAAACAGATGTAAGAACAGGAACTGTCCACTTTTTAAAAACTCTACATTTCAACCCTCCACTATTATTATTATCCATCGCACTGCCTGTGTCAGAGGCAGTCCCCCCCCCCACCCCCCCCCACCCCCCGCCAGTTGACTCTCCAAATAAATTTCCATCATTTCTTCATCATCCGTGGTCCAGGCTCTCCTGAAAAGTCTCTGGGCACAAGTCATAGGACGACAGGCTTTTGACCTGCCGTTAAAAATGAAACCGCAAAAAACGAGAGCCCCCCCGCCCCCCACCCCGGCCCCAGTGAAACCCCTCCTGTGCGCGGTTCAGTCGTCACTATCTGACAGCGTCTCGTACTGCGCAGAGAGCAGCGGGGCAGGCTCTCGCTCCCAGATCCTGCTCTGCTGGTGAGGGGCCGCCTGGTTCACAGAGGAGGGGGCGCATGCGATCGGGGTGGGCGGCGTACTGCTGAGCATCCGCATAGTCAGAGGGTTGTACGGAAACTGCGTCGAGCCTGACAAAAGAAAAACTGTTTTCACTGTCATGAGCACAGCTGCCGTTCCATACAACCTCCACGGGGTGCAGGAAGACACGATTACTCTATTGAACTGGTCTTGGGACACCAAGAGTAAAGTGAAGCAACATGGAAGGGCCAGGGTTTCACGAGGTAGATTGTAGCCTATCGTGAGGTACCAATCGGAGAATCTAGAAGAGATGAAGGACACAAGCAAGCACAAGCTTAGGGTTGCTAAGTCCAGAAATGAAAGCTCAGGGCTGAACTTTCAGTGAGTTCTAGAACCAGGTGTTTCCATGGAGAATCCAAGTAGAACTACTGCATATTAAGCTTGAAGAGTCTGGTTACACCAAGAACTTCTGGACTCTTCAAGATAAATGCAGCAGTACGTGCTCAGAGGACAAGGGGACAAGAAACGTCAGCAGGTCATGGGCAGCAGGATGAGGGTCTCACTGGGCAGATTTAAAAGGTACAAGATCTGGAAGAGGGGTACGTGAACCTAACAACAGCACTGCCACCACCCCCTGCCACTTCTAGATTGTCTCACCGTCCCCAGAAAGCCTGTTACAGCTTAAGAAACCCTAAGCACAGAAACCTACCATCTTCTCAAGTAAGTAATTTCACAAATTAAATTCTTTCCCTAAGAGACAGGAGAAGAAACAATCACTGGTTTAGGTTAGAAGTTGTCAAACTAGAACACAGTCCCTTTGCGTGTGATGTGAGTTTTATGAAGCAAAGGCCTTCAGTTATGCTCACAAAATAGCCCTAGGAAATTTATATATAAATAAGGGGGAAAGCATGTTTCCGACAGTTTCCACTGATGTACGTGTTGTTAACTCCTAAAAGATGGCTTACAATTCTCTGAAACTCTTAAATCTACACCAGATAATCCCAGTTTCAGTTAAACAACAACAAAGTCTGTCCCCTTTCAAGACCACCGTCGTCATGGATACTAGGTGTGAGAAGAAAGCTTACAAGCAAGCACAAAAAGGAAAACATTCATAAATATCCTAAAACGTGATTTTTCATCGGTTTGTATAAACAGAAGTGAGCCTACAATAGAGATGAATGTTTACACTGTTTCCATTTCTTACTTTGATTTCTTAATATTTCCCGAAGAACCTGCTCTAAGAATGTCTGTAGAGAGGCTAAGGGTGAGCAACCCTTCACGCTCTGGTGTGGTTTATGGAGGAGCTGAAATCACAGACTTCGTGGCTTTGCAAGTGGCAGGTGCCACTTCGTGGCTCCCAGCACACACAGAAGTAAAGGGAAGGGAGATTTTGTTCATGGTAATCTGACCCTGCATTCTGTAAATTTTAAAGATTCCATGCATTCAATGTCTGTTTTGGAAAGTGGAACCCTACCGATACAATAATGGAAATTGCGGCTTCCAAAGTTTCTGATTTTAGAAGTACTAGCCAAGGCTTTGAATAAAAAGTACTTTACAACTCCTTTTCTAGCAGTAAGTTCCTCACCTGTTGAGGAGGGCCTGTCTTCCCAGGCCCACCCTGGTGTCTGCCTGTGGTAATCCCCTTCTGAATGTACAGAGGAGACGGAAGAGGGCCTTTCAGTTCCTAAGTAGCCTTGCCCAGGGATGGGAGATTTAGATTTCCTGCTGTTTGACTTGCTGATCAGCTTTGGTTTGCAAACTCCTCCTAAAAGTGAAATAAATTAACTATTGACATATAGTAATTATGTTCTCAACTTAAAAACCTACCCAAGTGCTGATGGGTTATACACTGCTGAGAAAGCGGGGGGATGGCCGGCAGCACAAAGAACCCAGATCCTAGGACCCAGTGAAGTTTCAAAGTTAGTATTTAAAAGCCAGAATTTACTTGTAGCAACTGAAGCAAAAGGGGTATGTTCTCATGCCATAATCTTGAAA